ACGGCATATTAACGATGCGTGATAACTCGCGCATATTACATAATACATCTCGCAGAAAATAAATGTATCAAACTGATGAGCACGCGCCGTACCAAGTGCCGTAGAAGATGTTAAAGTCTTGTTCCACATTTACATTATTCGACGGGTTCTATCCAATCATTGACGCGAAACGACAGTTTCGTCACGTTGCATTGAAGAAAGGGAGAGAGAAGGATGAAATCAAAATGCAATTTCACATTCTCCTCGCATTGGAGCACCTGCTGCGCGCAGATCCGAGAATTTCTTGATCGGACGTTTTTATCGTTTCATTGTCACTTTTATTCGACACACACGTCACTTTTGCATTTTTACACGAAAAGCACGATCGTCCTTCGGCATTTTATGTTCGCGACGATGTAACGACGCTGTCGCGTTTAACACAAACTTTTGTTAATTATATACCATCTGTCGCGCACGCGCGCACGTGTGTGTGTGTGTGTGTGTGTGTGTGTGTGTGTGTGTGTGTGTGTGTTACTGGCAGTGAGAAGCGCGTCGCAGTTGCTCGTTTTAGTAAACTGCATCGTCCGCCCGACCCTCCGCCAAGTCGATCACTCGCCAAGTCGCACATCGAATATTAACAAGTGGCAACAGATAGCGATCATGCGACAACATTTCCCCCGACACAAAGTCAAACCCAATTTCTTTAATAGGCTGAATAATCAAGCGCGAACATTCCCGCATGTTCTCTGTATTATTATTTTTATTTCAACTCGCTATCCCTTAATTCGATTTTTCATTCAACGTCGCAAAGATTCGTGATTATATCGTGCGATCGGTATCGACAGCGCGAGTTTGCGGCAAAAGGTGGCGACAGAGTCGCGATAATTAAACTTACGACTGATTGTGTAATTGTGGAACAACATACACAGTTTAGAAAATGAGAGCTACTCGCGCTGTAACAACGCGGCGTGAGGGGGGGGAGTGTCGATGCGTCGGCGTGAAAACTACTTTGAAGGAGGAAATGAGAATACGAGATCGATCGCTTCTGTTACATCAATGGGGGAGATCTATACGAGAACGATACTTGATGGACGCGACAGAGAGAGAGAGAGAGACGAAAGCGTCGCATAAATCCACGCGTACTCGATCGTGACCGACCAACGCGTCGGCGGTGGAACGGCGGGCAGCGTGCGAGAGCAGGAGCGTGACATTAAATAATCGTCGTGCTTCGGCGGTATAATCGGCGTAAAGAGCACGTGAGCGGAAAAGCTACCACACACGGGGGCTGGAAAAGCATCGGAGTAGAGACGGGGGACGGAAAGGGGTGAAAATGGGTACTCGGCAGTGGCGGCAACGGCGGCGGCGGCGGCGGCGGCGACGGTGGCGGCGGCGAGTAGCTGGTGGCACAATCTCCGGTAATGATTGGTCGTCATGGAAACGAGCCAAGCACCCGCCTCGCCCTTTTTCCTCTGGGTAGACCGAGCGGCGTGCGTCGCGTCGCGGAGAGAGTCGCGTTGCGTCGCATCGCAACGGCTGCAACGGCGCCGACGCCCTCGGCTATTTCCACACCCCGCGGCAAAGTTAATCTCACTTCTCTCACCTTTCGCCTTTCCCCGCGGAAGATTTGCTCTGCAATTTTTAGTCCGAGCTGTATTTCGTGTTGCTGAGAGAGAGAGAGAGAGAGAGAGAGAGAGAGAGAGAGAGGGGGGGAGAGCGCACCTCGTGTCGATTCTTTGCGATATTTAGTCAAAGACAGCAAAACATCGTCGCGATCTTCCTTTCTTGGAACATAATACGCAGCGACGTTTCTCTTCCTTACTGAAAATCATCCCGGAAGAGATTGAATATCTCACACCGAAATGTTGCGACCGCCATCGCGACGCGCCAGCAGACAGTCGGGTCGCGACTATGGGTCGCGCATTACGGCTTTACTGCCGCACCGAAATTTCATACAAAGAGTATGCAATAATAGCGAGTGTAGAAAGAGCGTGCAAGGTCCTTGAGACATTTTCGCGAGTCCGCCGCGCTGTCTCGTCGTCCCAGTAAAACTCGATATGCGATTTACCGTGCGCGCAGTTACGACTACAATGACGACTGCGATTTCCACGTAAGCGAAAGGGACCGACGCGACGCGGCAATAAATTCTGTCAATTATCCAACGGCGACACACCGAGTCCGCTCACAATTCCATTGGTAGCTCTCCTCCCTTCTGTCGTGATGGGCTGCGACCGAGTTGTCACCCTTCTTACCGGATCCGAAGCCAATTACAGACGTGCCGCCGACAGTTTCTTACCGCCTACCTGTCCGGCAAGAAAGAAAGCAACGGCTGACAGCGACACGCTCGGCGTACGACGAGCTGTCAACATCGCCGTTTTTCCACCTTTTTCCCCCTTTCCCTTTTACATTCGCGAGAGTCTCAGCGCGGTCTCTCGATCGACGCGAGAGCTCTCCGGCTTGTTCTCTGCCGCGCACGATAACGTAACACGTATCGTAACACGTAACGACATAATGAAAATGCACAGGAAATATGTAAACGCGGATATACTGCGGAGTGAAATGCGTAACACGCGTAACATATGTTACAATACGCGCTAAATGTCAGGCGTTAAAATGGAGTAATACCGTTATACGTAATACCGTGTATCGTTATTTTTCCAGATTTTACGCCCTTGCAAGATGGATATAGATGCGCAATTTTTGCTCTCGACGCATTCGCGTGTCGGCAGACATTTCATCTCTCCGAATCAAGCGAATGTGTTAATTTGGATGTTTGCTGCGGAATTAGTTTTTTTGATTTATCATCCAAATTTGTACGCTTCATTACGCTACGATAATGGCTTCGACATCATCGGTCAATTACGGCGTCTCGCCACCCATCCGTTTTTCCGTCACCGTGAGCGGGCGCGCGCGTAAAGAATGCATTTTTCGATCTGCTCTCTCTCTCTCTCTCTCTTTCTCTTTTTGATAGACTAAGGGAGGTGGGTAATAAACCTCCGTCATTGCGCCATTTCGCGGTACGATATCTCTTTGTCACAATTACGATGATGGAGAGAGCGCCGGGCGAACGTCGGCGGATTTTTTTGCAAAAATTCCAGAGTCGCGGACATCTCTTCTCCCTCTGTCGCGCGGGCGTTTGCGCGGAGAAATGGCAATTTAGGTCTCTCGCGGCGAGCGCGCTCGTTCAATGGGCAATCTGTAGTCGCTAATCTGCCGCCTTGATCGACGGCGCTACAGAACGCTCGCGGAAACTTTAGCGGCCCCAAGTTTCCACGCGGCGCGCACGCGGTTTTCCGTTTATATAGGCGCACGGTAGTGAGCACGTCCCCGGGGGTGGGTAATCGAGAAAGTTTAGTTCCCGGTAGTAGCTAGAGACGCCGGATATACGCGACTATGAATTCTGGGGAAGGACCTTAGCTCGCGCACGGCTCCCTCGGACTGCCCTCGGTAATCGCCGCCTCGTTACAACACGGCTTTTTACCCCTCCTGAGAATGCTCCTGACGTCATCGTGTGCCGCCTTCGCGATCATTACGGATTTATTTTTAGGCACACACGGAGAGCTGTAAATCTCGTAGAATCGCACAATCGATCTGTGCCCAGGCTGCGACCGGTGCGACCGGTTATTGCCGTTCAAATCCGTTGTTGCAATCGCACAGAGTCGCGTTCGCAATTGAGACAGAGAGAGAGAGAGAGAGGGAGAGAGAGAGAGAGAGAGAGAGAGAGAGAGAGAGAGAGAGAGAGAGAGAGAGAGAGAGAGAGAGAGAGAGAGACTCGTCCTTCCGCCCGTGACATTTCGTTACTTTGCGTCATATGTATCTTTTCTCTGTCGTTTACCTGTCGTTTCTCTCAGGACACTTTATAGGACACGCGTCAACGTTAGAATCGACAAGTATCGAATTTTTATCTCGCCGTCATATCGTTGCTGACAATGAAGAAAGACATCGTACGTGCGGCATAAAAGAATAACGCGAAAGGTATTGGGCGCAGCTGGGGTTTCCGCCTACGGCGGAATCTACGCGGCCAGGATTATCTAAATAAATATTTGACCGTGTTGATATAATGCGATTAAAGATAGACCTCTTGTGATACTCTCAAGCGCGCGGGGGTCTGTGAAATGTTGGTTGAAGCGCAACCTAACGTACCTAACGGCAGGGCCATGTTCCGGAATTTCCGGCGATTTCATTCGACGAAATGTGAACGCGGCGCCGTGTTGAGATCGAATATTAAGCATTTGCCGATACGGGCGCAATTACTATTGACGAGGCACCGATTAACCATAGATAACCAGTAATTACCGAATCCCGCTCCGAATATGTCATATAATGAAGCTCTTTGATGACGCACCGCATGGAGAGATTCCGATCACTGTGGGCCGGCGGCAAAGCGCGAGCACTTGCTTTGCTTTGCGAAAGTATTTTCAACGTTAAAAAATGTTGCCAACGAGCGAGAATAGCGTCGCAATTGATGCCTTCCGCGCGGGCAGGGTCTAGTTATTTTAACGTGATTAATGTTCTTAATTTAACTGTTACGGTTGCTATGTATTATTCGCGACGGTATTTGCAGCAACCAGGATATTATCATTGCGTCCTAATTATTATTTCGTGTATACACATTTCGTACACTACAAACGGATCCCATCGAGATCGAGATGAAATGTCTCCCGACGCGCCGCGTGCTTCTTTCGCGAGAAATTTGCGAGAGATCACCTCTCGTCTCGTCGTTTGTCTCGTTGCCAAGACGTCTTTTTGTCCCGCGTCGCGTACACGCGATTTGGCTATTTCGCGCAACAATTGCGAACTCGCAATTGCAAACTCTCTCTCCGGTTTCTCTATATTTTCGAATATTCCGATGCGCGATAAATTAGCAACGAGGGCTCGCCGTAACTCATCTCATTTATCGTATACAATGTTATACTTTAATCCTGCGTCGCGCATCGCCGACCTGCATGCGTATTGTATCAACCCGCCGAACGTAATAATTACGTTGCAACGCAATAACGAATGTGTGTTTGCGACTGTTTCAGAGGTGCCTTCTCCGTGGTTCGACGATGCGTGCAAAAGAGCACCGGACACGAATTCGCTGCGAAAATCATAAACACCAAAAAGCTCTCAAACAGAGGTAAGTGGTGAGAGGAGGTAGCTCCTCTCTGAAGCTCGCGCTAACGCGCGCGATCCCGTCTCTCGGACTCGGATCGGTTGGTTCTCCGATTTGTTCGCGGGCGAATATATAATTACCGTGAGATATCTGCGTGGCGCATTAGCCGCATACCACCGTACGGACATTACCGTGGCGACACGTTCAGACACATTCGAGATTACATGTGTTCAGTGCGCGGCGCGCATTCTTCCATGATGCATGCATCATGGATATTACGTACATGCGACATACACGGTCAGACACGGAGTATTAAAGCTTGGGCCATGTAATTTCCGAGTTCGCATAGCTTGTTTGCGGCACGCAAACTATGAACTATGAGTATTTATAAGCGGACAAATATCCGCGGACGGATCGATGAGTTTCGGAATCGATCGGAGTCATTATCACTGGAGACAGTGCTCGAGAGACGAGCTCGTATTCGACCGAACCGGCTACCTGTTGTGCCGCTACCGCGAGCGGCGATTCCGCCGTAAATCGCGCCCATAAATAGCCGCGCTCGTAAGTACAACGAAGATTACTCGTGCCATTATCATCGGGAAATTATCACCTTGCGGGAGAATTTGCGGGAGAAACTTTGAGGAATTCATTCTCGAAATATTTGTCACCGTTACGACGCGGCACGATGCGCCTAAAGATGTTGGCGCTACCGACCGTTGGCGGCGGACGCTCGTCGATAAGATGAAGCTTTTAAACGGAAGGGATCTCAAGCTCTCCCGCTTAAAAAGCCGGCCGGCCGGCCCTCCGTATTTCGACTCGGGCCGAGAGAGAAAAGGATCGACGACTCGTCTCGCGTCTCGCTCGTTCGGGACCAGTGTAAAGGTAGGCCGTTTCCCGCTTTCTTTAACATGGCATAAATATATAGTGGGCACGCCAAGTCGGGAACATGGAAGGCTCTCTCCCTCGAGTGTCTCTCCAGAAACGTGTCTGAAACGTTTCCCCGAGCCAACGAGCGTCTGAATCGTCATCGTAAATTTCCATTGCAAAGGAGTTGCTTTCGTGCCTTCGTGCGCGCGCTTTCGTCCCTTTCGCGCAATTGCTCGATCGCGGAAAACGTCTCGGGGCTTTGTATTCCCCCGTTGCGATATTACTCTAATTTATTATTTACCAGGCACCTTCGATACACATGAGTATCCTCTCTCTCTCTCTCTCTCTCTCTCTCTCTCTCTCCCCCCCCCCCCCCTCTCTCATGAATGAACAGAAAAGCTATCCATTTGGGGTTTTACAGTCAGCCTAACCTACGAGACCCAGATCATTTCGAGGCGTAGGATTTTCGATATCTATAATATTGGCTATTACAAGCGATTGATAATTCGAGTGCAACAACCGAGTCCGAGAAGAATAGAGCCAAGCATTACACCTTGGCGAGACCTTGGCTCGAAATTTCGTACTTTATGTACTTTATGTCGTACGATAAAAACTCGACGTTTTCACGTATACTGATAGAGAAATATAGTTGAATTAATCTCACTATATTTTATAGTTCATTTTGGCGTCGACCATATTTTTGCAGTTCGTGGAAACCTATAGCAGCAAAATATGGTAGAATAAACACACAAATATATAGTCAATGATTGTCTTAAATAATTGATTAGTTACTTTTAGCTACTTTTACATGTATGGTAATTTTTCATTCACAAATATAGTGAGATTTAATATTTATATAGCTACATCTGTCATCATTTAGCAAATATTCTGGTAATATTGACTATATAAAAAAGAGTTACTTTTACCTACCATTTTATATTTGTATGCGTACAATAAAGTTAGTTTCGTTAAAACTTACTATAATTCTTTAGTAAAAGTATTATATGGTTGGTTATACTATGCCTGTAATATCGTAATTATTACCGATATTACTTACGGTAATACTTACTATAAATATGATATTTTGGATTATATTTTAGTTACTGTATCATTATACTTCCAAATATCACATACTTTTCTCTCAGTGTATAAATTCTGCCAATCTTTTCCGCAACGATACCTCGTGTGTGTCGTAATGATACACGTAAACGCGCGTGCGCGCGTCTGTTTCACGTTCGCGCGTTGATTTTTCACCGAGGATACAGAGACATTCGAAGAATCGAAACTTTTTACAGGTGATGTCGAGTCCTTTGCCGCGGCCACGCCGCGCCACAGAGAGTTGACACGGTCTCCCTTTTCCGGTGGCGCGCGTCGACCGGAGCTTTCGCTCGAAAGAGCGGCGCGCAACTTTGTCGTCGTGCCTCGATCCCCTTCAAAAACGATTCACCCCTCTCGCCGATATCTCTCTGTAGAATAATCGTAGCGACGTCAAACAAATTCGCCAAACGGCGGTTGTCCCGCTTCTGTCAAGGAGCTTTCGTTCAGCCGATTGTTTCTCGGTCATATAATCTCGTTCATCAACGTTTCGTCGATCTCTGCAAGTTTTCGCAGTTTTTTTTTTTTCCCCCTAACGTTTCCGCTTTTTCGCGATATCTCTCGATCGATCACGGAATCGCGGAAAGTGTTAGCGTGCGCGTCTAAAAACATCGAGCGACGCGCGACGTTGACAAGCTGCCAGCGCATTCCTGCGGGACAACCACACACACACACACAAACACACACACACACACACACACACATACGCGCACGCACAGACTCCGGTGCCGTGCGCGATCATTGGCCCAGAAAATACATACTGGCCTCTTTTGAAATTCGATCGTGCCCGCGCCTACCTCTCGCCAAAGAGGCGCTGCGCGCTTTCGGGCGACAGAGGTGGAAGGGATTCGCGACGCCAAACGCCACGCGTGCGATATAATCGAACGCGTATTAAATCCCTCCTCTCATCGGTGTGTTTCCCTCCACACGCAGCTTACCTCGCGAGCCGGCGAATTAGCGACTCGACCGTACGTCGAATGAATTAACGCGTACGCTCCTCCCTCGTGCTCGTCGAGCAGGAAGGTCGCATCCTGCACGTGTGATGCTTGTTGTTTGGCAAAAGTGCACTTTACTTACATCGTTCAGAAGCGGAGAAACGTTGCGTTTTGTTACGAAATGAACAGCGTCTGATCGCGTCGTCACTCGTCCAAAGTGATTACCCGCGACGCGACGCGACGCGACGCACGAGCGATTAACGCGAATATCGTTCCGTTTATTCGGGGCCGTCGGATGTGGCGCAACGATGCGAATGATACGCCAATACGCTATTCTAATTCGTGCTCGACGTGAATGCGGTTGCCGCCGTTTCGCATGCATGTAAACGCATTGCGGTTAACCTCCGCGAAAAAATCGCGTCGATGTTGAGCATAATGCGATACACTCGAGCGCTGTGTGTGTGTGTGTGTGTGTGTGTGTGTGTGTGTGTGTGTGTGTGTGTGTGTGTGTGTGTGTGTGTGTGTGTGTGAAGCACTCGCGAGCGATCGCGACGTGAACGTGAACGGAATATAATTGCATCGTGCCACAAGTGATAGGAAATAAACGTCATTCGGCGAGATCCGAATCTCTCGCTCGTTACCGTTTCGCGACGACGGTTCGCGCGCATTGCGCGAAAAGAAGATCGGAGAGGGAAAGCGTTATGCCGCGCTAACTCGACAATTTTCCAGAAGATTTCCCCGTCTTTTCACCCGACGCTCCTGCCCGCGGCCCGCGAGAAGTTAACAAGTCCGCCGCGATAACATGTAATCCCAAGGGTGTAACGTGGAGAAGGAAATTTATCATTTACTTTGTACCTCGCGCTTGAGAGTTTTTGCTAGAATAATAGTTGCAAGAGTTTTCATCCATTTCTGTGTGTGCGCGCGCGCGCGCGCGAGATTAATCGCTCCAAGACGGCGTTGTGTAACCCGCGATCAAGCGGCGCGCGACCGTCTTCTTCAGAACTCGGACGTCGATAGGAATCCTCGGGGGTCGCGTGCCGCCTCGAGAATGGCGGGGCGAGAATCCTCGCGAAAATAAAGAGAAAAGACGGCAGAAAAAGTTGAGAGAAACGTTAACGGGCGACTTAACTCGCCGTCCGCTATCCGGGCGCGCGCGAATCACAGTTGGTTTTGTCCCGCGCGAATCCCCCTGCGTCGTAAAGCAGCGGGGGCGACTTCACGTCGGGGGAGATGAGTGAATAAAGAAAGAAAAATGACTCGGGGGTTAAAGGGTTAAAGGCCGGAGAGCGAAGAGACAGACGAACCAGCGAGAGCCGTTAGGTTGATCGTACTTGATTTACGTACTCGGGAGAGAAAGAGAGAGAGAGAGAGAGAGTCGCAGTTTGGGGCAGTTTAGAAGCGCAAATTTTACAGTCGATAAGACCCCCCCCCTCGCGAAACTCGACTCGAAATATTCGGAAATGAAGCTTTCGTGTTTCCGCGTGTGTTCATTGATATATTTATGCTACGAAAACGGCGAAAATGTTACAACTCGCGACTATACTCATCTATTTGCAACGTTCAATCCACTATATGCTATATACAGGTATATCGCGTACATCCGAAGGTGCATATTCCTCCGGAATCGAAGTTTGATCAAGATTCAATTCTACACACAAGCATATATGGTATGTGTTAAAAGAGACAGAAGAAAAGAGGAAAGGAACACACTGACTGAAAAGGAGCGCGCATCTCTCTCTTCGTCGGCTCTCGGAATTGCATAATTTCCTGCCGGAGCCGGCGCTCTCGTTTCCGTCCTCTCCGCTTCCTTCCTCTCTCATTCAATTTATAGACTTTTCTGCGGCCGCGCGATGCGGCTAGATAAATCTATCTTCGGCAGCGCCTCTCTCCGAGGTGAGGGAGGGTAAAAGGTATAAAGATGGCAGGGTAAAAGAGGAATCCTCTCTGTTCTCTCTTTCTCCTTCCCCTACCCTTCGTGGTATCTCCTCTCTATACATCTCTCCCTTTCTGTCTCGTTCTCTCGCCTCCAGTAAGAATCGTTCGCTCGTGCGATTCAGCCTAGACCACGACCTTGCTCCAGTGACCTCTTGACCTAACGGAGACCGTGGCCTCCGCAATATGGCGTACGCGCGCTCCGCGCAACGAATAAAGCTCGCCCGGGAATGCGGGAGGGCGAATAGAACGAGCCACAAGCCAATTATTATGATGGAGAGGGGAGGGGGTTGGAAAATAGAGGGTGAGAGAGAGAGAGAGAGAGAGAGAGAGAGAGAGAGAGAGAGAGAGCGAGAGGGAGTGAGAAATAGGAGCAGCGTCTCAATTTTCTCGCTGTCATTTCCCGTCATTTCCGGTTTTAAGGCCTCTCGCGGCCGAATGTGGCGCGTTCACTTTCCTTACCTCTCATTTGCCCTCATATTCTTTTTTCCCCTTGGCAAGGCGCACGTGCAGGGTCGCTCTTTGCGCTTATTGAAATTATTCAGGTGTAATTCCGAGGAGACGCGGAAGGTCATTTTATTGGTTCGTTGGGTGGCGGGACGCTTCTTCATGGCGAGACAGTAGCGACCGTGATCGATGCTGAATTAATTGGCATGTGCGAATTGAGGGGCACATTCGCGGACAAACGCGAGGAAAGGGTAGCGGTCCAATTAAAAGCGCCCGATCGATTATACCGACGACGAGGATTTATAACAAACTGCGGATGAGCTGCAATCTATTTCGCGATATTATCATCTATTTTTCGCTCGCGTTCACATTCAATTTGGCTCAGTTTGCCGTTCCGTTCGATACAATCATTCTCTCTCTCTCTCTCTCTCTCTCTCTCTCTCTCTCTCTCTCTCTTTCTGTTCGGTTCTCCTTTCTCTCTGTCTTTAGTTTGAACTTTGTCACATTGACGGTCATTCGTTTGTCTCGCGAAAAGTGGAAACGAGTAATGCTGTGCCGCAGGCAATTTATGTGCAAAGCATGAAGGGCGAGCGGGCGTGCGAGGAAACTCGGCGTTACATAGCGTAAAGCAGTTACCGTAGACAGCCGAGGCGGGACCGATCCGGCCGATTTGAATTCCAGTTGGACAGACCATTACGAACCGATACACGCGAGCAAGACCGATCTCGATTGAGCGCGAGAACTTTTTTGTTCCAACCGACTTGGAGAATTATTGTATCGAATGCAGGATGCTTTTTTCTTTTTGCCAGAAACTCTTTCGCACAGCGTTCGCATTCGTTGCTCTGGGCGCGACGAATAATTACGAGCGGTCGAACGTTCAGAATTTTGCTGGCGGTGCGGTTCATTTGAATTTCCAATTCGTGGCTTTGGGCCACAAAGAGAATCACGAGGAGGCGCGGACCGTGTTCCGCGCCCGTCGCGCTAGCGTCGTTCCCACTTGTTCCTCCTCCCCCCCTTTTTTTTTACTCGTCTCCCCTGAAATTTCCCCATCGGCCGCTTTCACTCGATCGCCATATCGCCGTACGATACAATGAATTCTTCTCACCGTGAATCTGCGCCATCACATTTTATACTTATCGTGCTTAAGCGTGCTAACAAGTGCTAATTTGGTAAAGTTACCAGCCCTGCTTAACAACGTGTGGTCTGTCTCATCCGAAAAGATCGTTTCATCCCTTCAATTTGTCTAAGAGGCAATTTTCGAAAAAAGGAAAAGAAAAAGAAAGAAAAAAGATCTTTTTCGCCAGACACACTTTGCGTCGCAACGAGATACAAAGATGCGCATCTTTTGCGTGTCAATGAAGAAGGCGATCCCTTTTTCCCTCTCGCGATACCTATAACGGGATGCCATCATTGCCGTCCGGATCGGGAGGAAAAAAACGCGTCACCCCGATAGCCTTATCACGCACGACGGATCAAGGGTTGCCCCGCAACTTTCTCCGCAACATCGGCTCGATCGGTTCGCGATCTACTCGCATAAGCGCGACACGGCGATTTTTATTACCGAAGCTTTCGCGACATTCGTGCTCCATCGGATGGGAAGGTGTGCGCGCACCGGCTGGACGCTTCTCAACGATCGGCCTTGCGACGGAAAAGGAAACCGAGGAGACGCGATGCAGAAGCTACGATGCTGCTGCGCTGCTGCGACCTTTTGTGCTCGCCTCGTACTTGCGTACTTCCGAATTTCCCAAAGAATTTGTAATCGAATAGGTTCCAGAGACAGAGCACGGAGATGTGAAAAGTATTCCGTATGCTTCGTTTATCGAAATATTACATGGACTCGCGCGAGATGTCCGCGTTATCGATGCAAATTGATTGGCCGCGCTCTCTCTCTCTCTTTTTCTCTCTCTCTCTCTCTCTCTCTCTCTCTCTCTCTCTCTCTCTTGGATACGGATAATTTTTATGACAAGATATACATATGTGTGCAGACACACACACACACACACACACACACACACAGGCACACAGGCACACATAGATGCGCGCTCTATAACAGGATAAAAATAAGAAAATGCATTCTTCCAACGGCTGCGTAGTCTGCTGGAAGTGATTTGTTTCGAGCAGCGCGCGTGCTTGCACGGAAGAGTGTGTGTGCGTCCTTCTCGCATTTTTACCTTTTTTATAGATTATTATTTTTATATAGATCGCATTTTTCTTTTTTTTAATTATCGGCTGGATGAAGGTGATCGCAAGGGCTGTTATCCCGACACCTCTTTATCGATTAACGGGCCACACACACACACACACACACACACACGTTCACCGAATACTACTCGATAAACGATCCCCTTTGTGTGAGCAAGTGGATTTATATATGGCACTCGCGTTAAATTGACGATCCTTTGCGTTTCGTCGCGAGCGAAAATTGATGCCGCCGACATCGTTGGATAAGCACACGCGCGTTGGAGGGCGTATTCTTCCCTTCGGAGACGTCCGCGAATTTGCGCACTAAAGGTCGTGTTATATAAGTTTGCGCTGTACGACCCGGGTAGTTTTTACGTAAGTCGCTCGCGAGCTTGCGCCTGATATGCACCTTGAGACGTTACGACAGCTTTCAAGGGAGTCACGAGCGAGAGAGAGAGAGAGAGGGAAAGAAGGGAGGAGGAGGGGGCGGGGACCAGCGGCGGGTTTCACGTAAATTCCATTTTATTTGAGTGAAAATATATATGTATTGGAATTTAATACTTGTGGGTCGAGAAGAAAGATGAAATTTCGTCGTCGTTACTCGAGAGGTTGCGCGAGAGACGAGGTATAATCGCTGTCTCGCGAACGTTGCGTCAGACTAATCAACGCATAATTGAGTTGCAACTCGCGCCTCTGCGTGGGCGGATGCAGCGGTGCGTGTTCCAACGGGACAAACGCCTGCTGGAATCCGTCGGCTGCTTCTTGGATTTCATTGAGCAACATTTCCGCCGTACAATCGCGCTAATTTGCGTGAATTTGCGTGTGGTAGGAAGTTTGCGCGTGCGCTTCTCCGTTTGATAATTTATCAGAGTAGCCGGCAGAGCACACGCGCGGTCGACTCATCTCGAACCTCGATAAAAAAACCCGGGTTATATCGACAGCGGTGCAGGGAATCGATGACGCGAGGCGACCGAGAGGAGGGAATGAGAAATTGCGTACTTGAATGAATATTTTACTTCGCGCAACACACGTTGTAGCCGTTTAAACAATTCAACGGCTCTACAGATATCTCATTCGGCACGCAATACGATTAATGCGTCCGCTCTCACGAGCCCGTATCAGGGATCAGCTTTATCGGCCACATGAGGCTTGCGAAAAAGAAAAAGAAAGAAAGAACAAAGAAACGAGAGGAAGAATAATTTGCGATAAAATAGCAAGTGCAACATGCGGGTCAACTCGACCGCGGGTCCGCGTCGGGTATACTCTTTTTGCAATCTACGATCTTTTTGTTAATCTACGTGTGGTGCACGTACGTATGCAGTCCGTCGACCGTCTAGAACCGCGTAGAATGCAAAAGTCACGCCGGTAGCGCCGGTGTTAATCATTTCCGGTCGTTGCACGCCGACCGACGAGAGAGAGAGAGAAGAAGAAGGAGAAATTCATTCGACGAGGCATTTCCGAGCGTATGCTGTACTGCGTGCGTGCTAACGTCTTTTTCTCCCTCTCGTTGTCCAGCGATGATTATCTGTCGCGTGGCTATACTAAACGACGAGGGAAACTCCTTAGCATATTGCGGCTCGCAAGTTGCTCTTCGTGGCGCAAGTCACTTTTTTCCATTCCACTTGCGAAGAAGTTGGAGAGGCAGAGAAAATTTGAAGATTTTTTCCTCTCTGTCTCTTCAGTCCAACAGCGGATAAAAATCACTGAAAATGCCGGGGAAACGTTACACTAATCTCGCGTTCTCTGTGACGCGTGACGTGAGAACGTGGCGATTAAAAAAATGTAATATTATGCAAAAGCAAAAGTTACGCGAACGTGTGTGGGTTTGAATGTCAATAATAATTCCCTGCCAAGTTTCTTCTTTTATTTAGAGTTACAAAGTGCAAAGTATATATATATATATATAATCGAGAACAAAATCCGCGCCCGACGCTCTCATCATTCTGATCTTCTCTTTTGTTACTGTTGAGATATTCATTGTCGGGACATTCCATCTCAGACTATTTTCAATCAAATGGTCACTAAATATTACGAAGAACGCATCGATTGTCGATTGTCGTGGCGAAATACGCGAGAAGGCAACGGGAGATAATCCTCAAAATGATTCGACCGTCCGTAAATGCAATTTTCTCTCTTTTGCCTCTTAGTGAATTAACTCTGGGAAAACTCGTTGAGGGACCTCATTGCGAAATTCGATTCCATCACGATGTCCACGATCGATCGTTCTCGCCGCAGCACCCGTGCAATTAACTTTACGGGATTGCATCGGAGCGTCGTTTTCAGGGTCAACGCGTTTCACAACGCGTTTAACAATCAGGGGCAATGAGTAGCTCTTTTTTCTCTTACATATATATTTAATAACTGGAGGTTGCTTTTATTAATTGACTTTAAACACGAAATTATTACGTGCCATTTATGCGCTCATTATTTTAATCAAACGCATTCTGTTGCAGATTTCCAGAAGCTCGAGCGTGAAGCGCGGATATGTAGAAAACTTCAGCATCCAAATATCGGTGAGTCGGATATTTTATCCTATCGAATTTGTACTCATTATTATCTGCCATTTCGATGGTCCTTTCGATTGCGCACGGTGGAAAGCAGCAGCGAAAGACTGCGAGCATCTTACGCTCGCATCTCTGTATGACATAATAATAATTACGCCATCTTCGCGAGCGCGTCATTAGAAGATGATGAAATTAAGGCCACGAATCGATATCGCGGCGAGTCTTGGAACTTGATCGAAGTAGGCGTTCTGAGACGAAATAATGAATGATCGGCGCGCGTGAGACGATCACGGCGTACGTGGTGAGCATCGCGAGTAGATACAAGCCGCTTTAGTCGGACGCGCGCGACCTGTAATCATTGCCACTTGTCTCTGGCATTAAATTACACTGTTGGAGGAGATGCATCCGTGTCAATAAAAATCCAATTTTCCCATCGAAGCGACAACATTTAATGAAATATCACACATCGACAAAAGCAATCAGGTCACGACAAAGTCACGGTTCTTTTTATGTCGCTAGATATTTCTTTGGATACTAATACCGAAAAGAAGGATACGGGAGGGATATTTTTCTGTGATATTTTCCGAGTACTGTACAAACAGCCGGTGTACGAGACCAAAAGTCTACCAGCGCAGACGTGTTGATAAATATTGAATTAAATAAATAATTTTATTTACACGATACACGATTTTTCTTCTCGGGCACGAAGAAAATGGGAAACGAAAGCATCGTCACAGTTGCGCCGTGCAAACATTTATTTCGTCGTTCTTTTCCGGACCTTCGCGGACGGACACGTTGTCCTACTCGTACACGAAGAGACGTCGATCGATCGGGGCGGCAAAAAATATCCGCGTCCCTGGGCAGAGGATAGAGAGATAGAGAGGAGGATGGGGAGGGTAGATTACATTTGGGATTATGGGATCGGAACGCATGTTTCCACGTGTCGTTTAGCCATGTAGCGGCTCGTTTAACCGCTCTCCCGATAGACTCTCTAATTTCTCGGAGATTGAGCTCGTCTCGATCAAACCGCGAGAAATTCCAACGAGACAACAGTCTTTTTTCCTCTCTAGTCGCGTTGCATCGGTCTCTGTAAGTACACAGGAATGCGACGAGAATCCTTGACAAGGGATCCTTGACAATGTCTCATTCAATGTCGAGGGTGATGAAGGGAATGATGAAAAGTTGACGTATAAATGTCACGTTCAACTTTACAATGATTTGAACGTTCCCTCTCTCATCGCATTCGCTAATTCGAGATTTATTTTTCGACGGTTGTGTGTTATGTGTTGTGGTGGCGCGAATGTACACGCGCGCGAAAATCAAGATTCGGATACACTTGTCGGAATCTCTGTCGCTTCTGGCCCTGTGTGTGTGTGTGTGTGTATGAGAGTGTGATATCTAAACGGCGTTTCGAAATAGAGTGGAAAAAAGTTAAACGCCGTTTTAGTACGTTGTTCCACTCGCGAATAAACCGTCGCGCACACAATGTTGCATGTGTGGTGTAATCTAGATAACATGTAAATCGTGTCTCGCTCTAGCACGTTTGATGGATATTGCTCCAAGTGCAATTAATTTCGCGCTCCGCGTCATTATAACCTCCGTCGCCGACTCGCTTTTACTAGCTCGCCTACTCTTGTTACAATTTTGCCGTAAGTTATTGCATTTTACTCGATACGCGCACTCGCACGCACACACGTCGGCGCGGCGCATCCGGCCTATTCGCTCGATTATTCGATACGCTCGATTGAATTACGCTGATTCTATTATAGCGGGCGCATTCTATTCTATTATGTGGATCGCGTATCGTACGCTCGATCCAAATCATTCTACACTGGTACACGCTCGCAAAGCTCGAAAAACTCGCGCGTCGTCGAATTATCCGAATAACCGAATAACCGACAATCCGCGCGATCCGCCGCAACGCTCGTCCGACTTGTAAGCTTTTCCAAGCTCTTGCCCGTTACTTGGAACACTCGCAATCTCCAAGTATTCCGGATAAGTTGCAAAGTAATAACGTGTTGCCTACACTGCCGCGCCAAGTTTATTCTCTCGCGAGCGAAAGTCCAAGTTGTACCGCGTGATTCCGGGGGGGAACTCTTCGGCGGATAACTCGAGCGGATCCTCGTACGCGGCCGGCGTTTTTACGAGATTTCGGCTGCCGAACAGAAGCGCACGCTTCGATACGCACCTGCTCGGTTCGCGCTGGCTTCCGCGCGTAATTCGATTTTCCGCGGATTACACGACCGTCGCCTTGAGACGGCGCGGGCGCGGCGGCGGTTAACGCCGCCAATGCCAGATGGCCAGATCCATCTGAATCACGCGAAAATTCTACCCCTGTACGTACGATATGCACGAGTTGTGCAAACGACATTGCGCAACGACACAATTAGGTTCCAACTTTTTTTCCTCGAGCTGCAGAACGGCGAGAACAATCGAGAGAGAGAGAGAGAGAGAGAGAGGAAAATTCCCCCCGTCGAACTTTATTATTCCGAGTGTCAAGTCCCCCCGGTTAAGTTTGGACACGATTCCTCTTCCGTGGAAAATCGAGCCACCGTTTCCTTTCCCGCTGTGAGATTTTCTATGTTGCATATATCTCGGTAGCGAAGACCCGAAAGTGTCGAGATCCGATTAAAGCGGCGGAGTACGTTCAAGATTAACCAAAGAACAAAGTTTCGTCGTCTGTTTGCATTTCTGCGCGATTCTGTCTGAGATCGGTAATTAATTTTCGACGCTAAATAACTTTGTAATTACGTTAGATTTTGAATTTTTGCAAAGAGTAAAAGTAACTTTCACATTTGCCGAGAGATACGCCACTGAAGTTTACTCGCGCGAACTTTGCGTACGAGAGAATCTGCATATTTTGCTCCTCGTTTCGTTTCGCTCTCTCTCTCTCTCTCTCTCTCTCTCTCTCTCTCTCTCTCTCTCTCTCTCTCTCTCTCTGTTAGCGGCGAAAGAAAGGTTAAGGTTATAAATATGTTACCGACGCGCGTAATAGAGCTAAATGAGCTCGCTCGCTCTGGGCCGCGCCGCGTCGCGAGAATCATATTGAAATGAGGAAAAGAAGAGCGGAAAATAGAAGGCTGCAATCAACTTTCAGAGTCGACCCGAGCGCGATCGCTTCGTTAACTTCGTCAAATTGTTGATCATCAATTGTCCCGCATGAATCATCGGCCGCGGCGCGGCGGTGAAGCGAGAGCGACTCGCCGTTTTATCGCGTGCCTCTCGTTTCTCATTTTATCGGAGCGTTTTGCGTTACGCTCGTAACACGTCCCGTGTGTTTATCAAGCGTCCCACTTGATCCACACGTCGCTATCGAACACGCGCGCTATCGCACGATCGCAAAGTTCTCTCACAAAGTAATCTCTTAAGTAAAGCGTATCGCGAACGCACGTCGCATGCAAACGACGCCGGAGCGTGCATTCGCCGCGATCGTATTACAACGGCAATTCGGCCGGCGATCCCAATTAAATCGCGGTAGCGCGCGCTCGAGAGGCCGAGGGCCGAAACAACGATCGCTCCCGCAGGAGCGCTCGTTCGCCACGGGGAAACCACGGGGAGTTTACTGCTAGTAGTTTTCTAGTTTCTGTTACACGGCCACTCTCCCGCGATTGCGCTCCGCGGATTCCGGCTCGCGTGTAAGCGGCCAATTTTCTGCCCGGGACCGGTTAGCGATCGCGGCGAAATTTATGCGCCGGTGAAACGCACCGCGACGGTGCGCTCCGGTAATCTCGAAATTTTGGAAATTGCCACGCTCGACACGAGGGAGACAGGAGGAGAGGATCTTGGGCGCAAACTTGATCCGTCCGTCGCGACTACTTTCGGCGACTTCGGCGAGTGACACGGCATGCGTGTTGCGCCCGTCGCATTTTCTTCTTCAAACTATTTATTATTTCTCCCCGGCCGCGAGATCATTTTCACTACGTTTTGCCGCTGGCACACTTTATTTTCGCGTCACGTCGTGACTGCACGTCGAACGTGACACTGCAAATCGTTGGTGCGCGAAAAATAGCTGGAATTTCGAAGGAAAGCTGATTGACACGCGTCGCCCACGTGTCTGTTCCACTCGCGGAGCTCAGCTATGGTAAAAAATTTCGTTAAATAAAATTTCCCTTCCCAACTATCCTCCCTCTCCCTCCCCCCCCCTCTCTCTCTCTCTCTCTCTCTTTCTCTCTGCAGCGGTATCTCGTTGAACCTTGACCTTTCCGGTACACTTCATTAGGCGGCTTCTAATCGTACGTATCTCCGATTAGGAGTCCCGGGGCGATTTACAGTCGACCGATTTACCCGGGCCGACAGTCCTCAGGTCAAACTAAATGTTCAATCAAACAACCGCTTTATTCTGGCTGGAATCGCGTCGATAATTACTGCACGGCATCGCTCACGCGTTCGCAAATTGCTGAAACGACGCGTCGCCGGCCGCTTAAAGAGTGCCTCATTAACGACGCTCGCGTTGCTCTCACTATGGATATATAAACGAGTCGTGCAAGCTGACGTCCCTCGTCGTTAAAAATGCAACGCTAATCGTTACAATTCTCGTGTTTCGCGTCGTGTGTTCCGTCCCCGATATCGCTTCTTCAAGGAAGCAAGAACAATCGACTCTTCCATTTCCGATGTCAAGCACAGAGCCGGAAAATCTCCCCCGGAAACAACTCTTCGTCTGTCTCCTTTCTCGATCGTCGTCGAAACGTGCATGCCGTTCGTTGTCACCAGGATGAAGCATTTTCGATTTCTCTCGTCACCGCGCCTCCTTGGAGCAACGAAAATCGCCCGTTATTAGCGTATATGCGACGCACACGGCTGAGACCTTGAACCGACGCGCTCTCCGCATCGGGTTGTGTATTGCACGGCGAGAGAGAGAGAGAGAGAGGGGGGGGAGAGAGAGAGAGAGAGAGAGAGAGAGAGAGAGAAAATATCGCGCACGTAACACAACCTGGATACCTGCCAATCGACCGCGCGCCGCAGTCCCGGGGGAAATTTTTGGCGCGCGAGCCGTTTTTGCGCGGATTCGC